CTGACTAGGAGTCTCCGCAACATTCAAGAGAACAGGTCGTTCCCTAATTTCCTCAATCAACTGTGCAGTTTTATTCCCTAACAAATAGTACTCTTTATCTAACTCTACCGGAGTAACCGCTGCCTTTGTGGTGACCGCACCAAAATCACCTTCATTGCTTACTTTCGCCAAAGGTAAACATTTACATTCTGTGTCCAAAGGCTGTTTCATCCATACAGTTTCCCCTAATAAGTCATTAGTATTAATCCAAGTACTATTACACAGATCTATACCAGCTCCAGTATCTCTCAGATATTCTCTCTCTATCCCATTAATTACTGCTTTCTTGAAATACGGCTCAAAATATTTTCCTAAACTCTCCGTTCCTAGATTATTCACCAGATTAGCCTTATTCTTTTCCAGCGATGGACAGTTAGGTCGGATATGTCCGTCCTTCCACATTGGTAACACCTTATTTTCTGCTGTTTCTCTCGAAACCTGCTTCATTAGAAAACTTGCTTTTTTTTAGGAGCCTCCACTTTTCTATGCTCCTCTGATTTAATTTCTTTGATGACCACTACTTTTTCTGATTAGAACTACCAGTTAGGAATTTACATATACCGCTCTCTATCTTTCTTAAATGGTTTCTTTAACCCTGCTCTCTGTTCTAACTTCCTCATATCTCTTTGCAAAGCCTCATACCTTGTCGCATAATCTCTGCTAAAATGGAAGCTGTTTTAAATTCTACGCCAATTGTTCTAAGTAGTGTTGTCTTATTTCTAGAGGGACTCGCCGCTTAATTTGCTCAGGTGAGCATAAGTTCCTTAAGACTTTCAAAATCTTGAACTTCTACTTGAATCCAACCAATTCCCTAAATACACTCTCAATTCATACACTAAATCCACCCATAACATTCCGTTTTTTCTAGAATGTTCTTTCAAATTTTGTTTTTAGTGCCCAAGAACTAAGCTTGAATCTCTGCATGAGTAAGTTCTTAACATGCTGATAATCATCCCCTTTATCCGCTGGTTCTTTCACTATTAACTTAACTGGGCTACATCGTAAGGTAATAAAGGAATTAATTGCGAGACCCAATCAATCTCATTAACCTTCTCTTTCTGAGCTTGTTTCTCTCAAATAGCATAAAGAATAATGAAGTATCTATATTACTCGTTTCAAAACGCGGGTACTAGATCTTTCAAATTAACCTTTTTTTCTCTAGATTGTTCAACTATCGAACCCGTGGAAGCTAGGCTATTAGTCTGAACCACATTCATCAGTTTTAACCTTTTCAATTTAAAAACTCGCTCCCGCTCGCCTTCCGCTCTCTTTTGTTCACGTTCCCGCTTTGCTCTTTCGCGTTCGCGCTCTGCTCTTTTGCGCTCTCGCTCTGCTCTCTCTTGTTCACGTTCCCGTTCTGCTCTCTGTTATTCTGTATTTGTTCTGCTTTTTTCTGCTCAGCCGCAGCCCAAATTCTTGCCGCGTGTTCTTTCGCCGCTTTTTCTTCATAGTCCTCGGCATTTAGAATAGCCTGCCTAATTTCTCTTACTCTATTTGCCTGAGACACATTTGTTTCAAACTCCTCCGCTAACTCCAATAGCAGAGCTTTAGTAAATTTCCTCATAAACTCACCCATTATGGAAAATTAAAGAAAAATAACCTACCTCGGAATACAATAACACAAAAACAACAACAACAGGTCTATCTCTCCAAAACTGAATAATTCCCTAACAATTCTGAGCACAAATTGCCTTACAACATTTAATGATAATACCTATGCCTACAAACAAAGCGTATATTAAAAAATGCTAATTAAGAGGCAACCTTTTGATCCCCAAAAACAGCTCTATATCCAAAATAAGCCTAGTCTCGAATAACTGGCATAACCCTCTCCAAAATCACAAAAATGGTACTCACCAAATTTTGAAGACGCCTTCGATTGACTCTCCTGGCACTAACTTGGATATTCTTCAGGGAAATTTCACTATTTTTGCGGCACTAGATCACGCTTCCTCCGGCGTTCCCTTCTGACACACTGTCACTTGTCACTGAGGAGGCTTCACCACGCGAACTGTCCTTGCACGCAAAATTAGATCGTTCTTGAAGAGAAAAAAAAGTCTTGACTGTTTACATAAAACTCAAGTTCACAGGCGAAAAAGTCCGTTCCTAAATTTACTCTCAGAAACAATCCCTAAAAGCTGCCACCAACTTTTAATATTTACTGCTGTGGTGTAGTGGCCGAAACCGCTATGCAAAACGGTGGGTTGTGACATCAATGGTTCAAACGCTAATGACGGAACACCAGCATAAAATTTTATTGAACGCCCCCAAAAAAAATGGCTACATACAATTCTCAGAACAGAAAAACCTATCACAATAATAATTAAATATCAACAATGCGTTCATCCACATTTATTGGTAATGAGGCTGCCCTTTTTTCAGCTGCTAAATTTAAGAGGTAACAGATGCACCTCATAATCTGCAAATCTGAATTTTCCTTTCTTAAGATGCCTGCAACACCAGTCTTCAAGCCTACCAATACTGGTGCATTATCGGCACCAAATGCTAAGCTATTATCCAGAGGGACTGCATTTTCTTTAAAGTTTTAATAATTAGCTGTGCTATATTAAAGCTTGTCAAATGTCTTTATAAAGTGGGGGCAGAAAGTAAACTGCACTCAATTTCTGAAGACTCTGTATTAAAAAAAGAAACAACAATTGGAAACAGTTTTGAATCGGTATTATTGCTTCCATCCCGTAGAGAGGCAGAACTGGAGCTGTTTTAATGCAATTCATTAACTGAAGATTTATTTTTCAAACTCCATTTTTTTCTTTTTAACAATTGCACCTGTTTTGGTTTTTGCCACTTGAGTATTTCATAGCGATTTCACTATCTAGAAACATTTTTCTAAATAAAGCTGCAGCATGATTCCGATGCATTCAGTGGCAGGTTATGCTCCAGAAAACAGACATTCTGCATTAATAACTTTTTGGTCCTTTGTTTCCGAAGAAAAATTTAATTTTTCGTTTTTTTTTTTTTTTCAAAACAACTCATGTTGTCCTTGTGTTTTGTGTACGCGCATGTTTGAGAACATCCGAACATGCGAAATCGAAAAATCGCAACGACAGACGGTACACATCGCAAATTTATTACATTTCCTTGAGGAAATAATGGAAGGAAAGTCAACTGTGTACGATTTTTGAAACGTACACGAGTATTTCACATTTGTCGCAGACATAACAAAAGATGATAATTTCTAAAACTAGTATTTCCCGAAGGCACGTGTACTCACACAACTCAGGACAAGATGAACGAAATAACTAAAGAACATCCAAATAACAGCTTGCTTTGTGCTCATTGGGTAATATACACTGGTGTGCAAAAATTAAGGACGAGACGGTTTTTATCAATATAACTTTCAGTGGCGTAGCGAAGGGGGGGCAAGGGGGTGTATGATGCCCCGGGCGCCGCTCGCAGAGGGGCGCCAAATGGTCTCCAAACAAGATTTTCCGGAAAATTTCAGTTTTTAGTTTGATTGATTTCTGGAAAATATATTTAAAATTAATAATTTTTAAATTACAATTAATTAGTAATATTATATTCTCAGTAGTATTATATTCTCTTTAGTAATATTATATTCTCATTGTATATAATATTATATTATTAATAAATATATCAACTTATCTATAATACATATAAAACTTTTAATTGTTTAAAATTGTACTTTTTTAAAAACAGTTATATGTAGAATAAATAATAACGTTTAATAATTCTAGATCATCGTATATCTGCTTTTTTCGCCGGCACAGATATATTTGTAGCGGTTTGCTACATCATTGACAAATAGTTGCCTCTCAAAAATACTCCAAAGTCAATAACGATTCATTAAAGACTCAAGTTGTTAATAAAACACATTTATTAGACGTAAGCACATCGAAACTCAATATGTGCATCGTTAAATATCACAAAAAGATGCATTTTCTTCTTACAACTTAAGAACAGAGCATAAAAAATTATTCTTAAAATTAAAAAATTCTGATGTGCACACCACATGACTTCCTTGTACGGAATATTAAATTATGCGCATTTTTTCTTGCATTTCATTTAAACTTATTGGATTGAATTAAATCTACTTCGCCTACAGCGCATAAACCGCAATAGAATAAATGCATTCTTTAAAATTCACTCTAGTATTTGTTTACCATAGGGACACTCTGGCGCTAGATTCACATAACAGTATTTTGTTTTCATTCTATTATAACTCATAATGCACAAAATTTATATCATTTAAAAAATAGAATTATCTAATCGTTGCCACATGCTCTATTCAAATACTATAATAAAGCTAGGATGATGTATAAAAGAAATTAAGCAAACAAAACAAAAATGTTTTTCACAGACGATTGAGTATTTCTCATTCAATTAATTCAGTTCTCGCTTCGCGAGAAGGCAAAAATAGATAAAAACTCAAAATATCTATATTAAAAATTACGAAGTAAATCTTAAACACTTATTTCCTCGAAAAAATTTCGGAAAGGATTAAGCAAGATTTAATTTGCAATAATAAATGAAGGCGATATCTTTGTTGTTGCGAAGCTAAGTTTCTATAGATGGGCAACAGTCTGCTGTTTCAAATGTAAATAATCAATGGCCGCTATATATATATATATAAAAAAAAAAAAAAAAAAAAAAAGGCACCTCCGGCAGTGGTGTATTTTATAACATACACCTCTAGTTTTATAAATAATAATTGCATCTGTTATAGTGATTAATTACTGGTTAGAACTCTTAGTAGTTGAAGCCAGAAGCAAAGATATTATCCATTGCCAAGTGCATATGCGGTGGCCGTGTTAACAAAGAAGTACTACCATTTACTTGCAATATAACTCCCTTATATTACTGCATAAATTTGACTCTAACACAGGCATAACGTGAAAGAGGAAAATATTTTTCAAAAACAACATCAATATAGATTATCGATATCATACTGCAAATAAAAAAACAAGAATAAAGTTACTTACTTTATTTTCTTTATGAATAGCTTCAGTAAAAGCTTTTTGAAATGCAGGTTCAAACATTTTTTCTCGAGCCATCACTGATGAGTAGAATTTAAATCTGACTTCGATTTCTAATAGTATAACATCTGATGTGCCTAGAATTAACCGATGCTTTGTAAGATAAAATGACGCGGCAAAGTAATTTTGAAAGAAATACAGCTTTTCATTTCGTATAGACACAACGAGAAATCGATTTTATGGTCACTGCCCACGTTCTACCACATCTGTTCAAAATCATAGTATATTTTAAAGCAAAAAAACAGCATATGTTAACACAGAGTTAACTTTTAAAACAGAAGTTGTATCGTCTGCAAGAATTTGCCGTTCCAGAAGCTATGAGATGTTTCTAACGTTTTACTCATCTTCTATTATTATGTATTAAAATAATTAATGTACTTAAATAAATTAGTTATTTTCCCTGTACAAACACGTTGTACGTATATCAAAACTACTCAAAATGCAGATTTTATTGCTAGCAGATTTTTTGGCAAATTAAACATGTATTTAACGCTTTAAGAGATGATGAAAATATCTAATTTTTTTGCAGAACGAGTTCTGATGAACATATATTTATTCAGTAAATGTGTTTTAGAGGTTCTTAGTCATCATTTTGACGAAATTATAAAATAATCGCCAACTTGGCTGTCCGCTTATTCAATTCAATAAAACTGATGCAAAGCTAAAGTGGCAGCCATTTTGTTGTTACTTTACAACTTTGAATATTTTATTCGATGTTATGTTCATGAATACAAAAAACTTTTGCAAAACTTTGTTTCAACAAATATAAAACAGCAGAAATAACGCATTCATTTGCAAATAAATTGCATGGCCGTGAAAAGAACTTTATGCTTTGAAATTTAATTTCACACCAGATGTTTTAATCAACTTAGCAAAAGCTTTTCACCGCAGTTATGTCTCCAAGTACACTCTAGACATAATGGCCAAAGAGAATCGCTTCTCCACAACATGCGATCATATTTCGATCAAATCCATTCGACAGAATTTTATGCAACGTTAGATGTTTCTTACAAAAAAGTATTTTTAATCAAATATTAACAAAGGCTTTTATTGACTTATCGCAATTATGTTTATAGCTACTTCTCCAGATGTATCCGTCGTCCAAAACCAAGAGGTTCCTTCACAGCATACGATCGCATGTTTCTCTTAAGACCTGACCATCTCCATACAAAAGTATTTTACACAGCATCAAATGCATTGTCTTTTTAAGAGTACGTATGATTAACTGGGAGGTTAGAACAGCCTTCATCTTTTAGACACTTATTTACAGACACACGTGATCGGAAACAATTATCGTGTCGGGAAGAATGCGTTCTTTATACTTTCTTGTATGAAGTAAAGTAAGTATTCTAATGGCGAAAAATTTCGAAAATCGTATGTAACTCACACACCTCAAAAATAATTAGCCTTAGAACATTGAAATCTTATCTATGAGACTGTTGTAACATCTAGTTGTGCACCTCCCTTTTTTTATCGCAACCAGCTGTAACAAAAGCGTATATACATTCCCACTCCTCTTACCTAGCATTTATTTTCCTATCGTTGGTCATAGTCATATACTTCCAATTACAAAAGTAATTTAAGTGAAAAAAATATTCATGTTTTGGCAATGTAAAATTTTTTAAAAAAATCTGAAATCTTTCAGATTTTATATTATGCTCAAAAGGGCACTTTTTTTTCATTTAAACATGTATACACGCTTTGAGAGCATTTGGGGTAAAAATATTTAAAAGCAACATATCTTGAGAATTTCCGAGACAATCTCACACGCAGGAGATAAAAATATTTTATTCCGCACAGTGTGTTGCCAATGCTCACTTTGAAATCGTTGAAATTCTCAATAAAAAATTCGTTAAAGTTTAAAACATATGATATAAATAATAAAACAAATTTGAAATTCCAGATTCAGGCTTCCAGGTGGAGGACTATGTTATTCAAAATTTGATACGCCTAATGCGAAAAGCATACATTCATGTAGATTCTTAGTTATTTAATTTCTTTAAATATAATACAGGATGATAATATTTGGTGATAATTTTAAAAAGTGATACAGTCATTTATTCAACGCAAAATGCACTCTCGAGACCAATAGCCCTCCTGAACTAATGCCCTTTTGGACTAAAAAAGGAAAAATGAATTTTGGACAAATAATGAAATCTAATTTTTCATGCAGTCTGCAAGATCATATATTTGGAAGAGTTTTATACAGTCAAAAGTCTTTAATCCGGACCTCAAAGCTACAAACTTTCTGCGATTGCGTAAACGCATGCGCATAATACGTTTACGCATGCGCGTTTAATGTATAACGGTCGGTATAAGCTAAGCTAAAATTATCTATTTCAGTTAACGTTGCAGATTGCGTTGTTCCTTAATCTTCTAATTGGATCCGGCTTATTATTTTTTGCAGACTGTTAGAGCAATTTTATAAAAGTAAGCTTGAACTTTCGATTATGTCAAAAAGAATTTCCTATTCTGGAGCTGCCAAAGGATCTACAAAGCGAAAACATGTTTCGATGTCCATCAAACAAAAAGTGGAATTGCTGCAAAAAATGGGTAGAGACATATCCTTTGTTTCTCTAACCATTCCGAAATCAGTTTATCAATTTCACGCTGCTCTGCGAAGGGGGAGGGGAACGTGAACTGGAAGTTGATCTGTCAGCAATATCCTTATCTTCAGAGCAGATGTTTTTATTTTATTCGGCTTATAATTCCTTACTAAATGTAGTATTTCATCTCAATGTACTCCGTCTTTGATATGATTTAAATCAAAATCCTCGTCATTATAAATATCACAAATACACATCAAATAGTTTTCTGGTTGCAATTTTCTAATTTCGACTATGCGTAATGTATGCTTTACGCATGCGCACGTTAGAAGAAATGTTTAATAAAGTAAACAAATAAATATTAAGCTTTTTCTTTTTGTAAATTTTGATACCCTTTAGATCATAATTGCTCTTTATTTCATAAATTATGGTTTCATATTTTTAATTTTATAATTTCTGCATGCCATTTTACCAGATTTAAAACTGATGATCTATAATCCGGAATCGCCGAAGTCCCGACAAGTCCGGATTAAAGACTTTTGACTGTATTAGTTATGAAAACAAATCACACGTAGACACGTCTTCCTTGTATGATTTATTAAATTATACACATTTTTTGCTACACTCAATTTAAACATTTTCTTCAAATTATTCTAATCGTACAGAAATCAAACTTCTTGTATTTTTAATTTTTCATAACGAGTAAAAATCTTTCCCAAATATAAGCATATGAACCGGGAGACCATATTAAAAGTTAGATTTCACTATTTGCCTTTTTTTTTTTTTTTTTTTATTTGACATTGCTAAAACATGAATATTTTCATCATGTAAAATACTTCTGTAATTGGAAGTATAGGAATACAACCAAGGATTGCGAAAATAAAGGCTAGGTAAGGAGTGGGTGGATATATACTTTTGGTGCGGCCAACCATAATAAAAAAGGAAGGTGCACAACTAAATGTTATAGCAGTCTCATATACAAACTTTAAAGTTCTGCGGTTAATCATTTTTAAATTATATAAGATGCATATATACGTACAGACGTGACCAAAAAAATTTCACAATCTGTTTTGGAATAAAGAGTCCTTTATTTAGTCCGTACGTACAGACGTCATGCAAAAAAAATGGCCGCAATTACAATAATTCCTTTACTTCTTACAAGAAAGTAATAAAAATACAAAGTGCGAAATTCTCATAAGATAAAAACTGACCGCGATATTTAATTTCAAAACTTGCAATAAATATAAATAACAAAATCATATACAAACTTTAAAGTTCTGCGGTTAAAGTTAATACGGTCTCCCAGCCCCTATACTTATATTTGGGAAAGTTTTTTACTCATTATGGAAAAATAAAAATGCAAGAAGTTTGATTTCCATATGACAGAAAATTGACCGGGATATTTAATTTCAAAATTTCTCATTTTTGGTATCATTTACAACTTTTCTTGAGGGATCAGTTAATAAGATAGAATAATTCAAGGAAATAAGTTTAATGACATGCAGGAAAAATGTGTGTATAATGTAGGCCATGCAAGGAAGTCATCTGGTGTCTACACCAAACAATTTATGCTTAAAATTATCTCTGCAATACTGTTTAAAACATCATTTTCCATGCCCTTTGCTAAGGTACTCAGCATCAATATACCTGGCTAGGCAGTGTTATTTAAAATAAGAAGGAAAGTAACAAAGTCATGCATGTAAAAATTTATACATGTATATTTACATGTAATATACATGTGAATTTCAAGCGACATAGTCTGAGGCAATACATAAACAAGTCTTCTTAAGCTCGCTCAATTTATAAAAGAAATTAACATGACATTTTACGCATTGGCTAGCAAGATAGTTAAAGCTGGAATATTTGGAGGAGACTTTCCGGAGCTCTAAATAATTCACTCTGCTTAAATACATAACTAATTTGCATTCTGGTGAGGACTACGCAACGACTACAGAAAGAAGATTCACATCATAATAACTGCTTAATTACCATAAAATCCTACAGGTATTTCAAGTAAGCTTCCGCTATCCACTTTCATGAAGGGTAGTGACAATAAAACTGAGAAGAGAAGAACATATTCCTTCTTCAATGGCCTACCCTCATTTAAGAAAATAACAATCCAAGGAAAAATACAAACATTTTTGTATTTATTTGAGCAAATGGGAAACACAACACTCATAGTTAAAATTTGGGCTTTCCAATATTAACAAAATATTTAACTGTGTAAACATAAGTGGGACAAAATTGGTTGCAAGCAATATGCTTGCATTGAAGGACATAAAAATGGAAAGCGAAGTCTTTCAAATTTTAATCAATTTCGTCTTCGACCAATTTCCTATACATATATATTAATTTATTCTTACACAGGTCCAAATATATAAAAATGAATTTTACCAATAGCTTCAATCAAAATTTTTATTTGAACTTTTATATTTTTCAAAAATTTCTGCAAGTTGTCACTGGAAAATAACGGATCCTTAAAATTATCCACATTTAAGGCATGTATATCAAGGTTAGTGATAATAAATATCTATATCTATATATATACATTATTTATCTATGCATTCTTCCCTTTACTAATTTTAGCTCATCACTTTCAATCAAAGTATCTTAAGAATCCTTAAAATTATCCACATTTAAGGCATGTATATCAAGGTTAGTGTTAATAAATATATATATATACCATATTTACCTGTGCATTCCTCCCTTTACTAATTTTATCATCTGAAAATCAAAACGGGAATAATATGCAAATAATGTAATTTTTGAAGGATGCAGTTACAGTGAGAATATAACAAATGAAAAGTATAAAGAAATTCCTGGTTAAACTACCAGCAACTATCACAATAATATTTATTTAAAAGAAACTTACATTTGAATAAGAATACACAGAAATATTAATGTTTTAATATCTAATAAAATATCTTCATTTCTACTTTCCTGGATCCTGATTGCCATTCTTATTGTTGTCCACAGCTATTCCTCAAGCCTCAAATCATTAAATACTGCTGAGTCTGCTACATCTTGCAGGTCGTTGACATCATCAATGTTCAATCTGTCGCCCCATGTGAAAGTATCTTAAGAATCATCAACAGCATGAGATATTGCTGTTTTCCTGAACTCTTTGTTGTTATTGCATCATCAATCAGAGCTCATAAATACACAATCCATGACCAAATCAATTAGTAAGATGAAAACCACCACTACATGGATGAATTCATTTAAAAACCTGGTAAAACTTGCTTTTTGAATGCCTTCAGGAAGAAAAAAATTACGTGGTTACTTGAAAAAATATTCAGAACCTTGCTAAATGCTAAATGGAAAATTATACTAGGAGGGGGGAATATGAGGGTAACTACGTATTTAATGCAGTGATATATACTTTTCTGTTATTTTTGCCTCCACCTTCTTTGCATTGCAAAGTCCATGTTAACAGAATTACTTTGCATTATAGAGATAATAATCATAGCACACTTTTTATGGTTAAATTGCACGAATATGAGGATTTTATAGCTACCAACCCTGAAATATGAAAACCAGAAGGCAACTCAAAATTGATTTATATTTGCTTTATGATGCATGATTAAATTTATTTAACTATGATTCTGATACTTGATATACTAATATTTAATTACATATTTTAAATGTTATGCTTTCTGTGCTATATCATTCTGTAATTTTCTTACATTTTACTGAGGAAATAAGTAGAGAAGAAAAGCTTTAATGTGTCAAAGTACTTTTAAACAAGATGAAAATAAAATTCATAATTAGCATACTAGTAATGTAGCACACATTGATGTAAAACAAAATTAAATACATATATTTACACATTATTTGGTTGAATCGTCATATTAAGTTCTATATATGTCTACAGTAGATTAAAATAATTCAGATTAAATAAAATTTAATACGAAAAATTATTCTGATGATCATTAGATGAGGAGAAATTAAATTTGCACAATTTAAGTTTCCTTAAACTAATAACTTGGTAAAGGCTAAAAATTAAAAACTGGGAGATTTGGTGAGCTACCAGGAGAGAGACACGTCAAAAAAAGAACTAGCAGCTGAAGGTTTCTTCTCCATTTATACTGTACTGTGCTCAAGTATATTTTTTGGAGTTAAAAGTTATATTATTTTGCAGATCACAAATGATGTTGTGGATATATATTTCACCAGTCAAGGCTTCATTGTAACATCATGAAAGTAATTCAGCATTTCAGATAGCATAAAATGTAATCAGAGGGTGATCTTGTGTGATGTCAGAGACTTCTGTGAGAAAGGCAAGGCAATCTTTGTAGTGGTAATTGGATACGAGATTCAAAAATTAGAAAACCTACTTTAGCATAGTACATATATTTTTAGTTACACATTATACAGAGCTTATGGCAGATATAATTATTACAGTTCAAGATGCCTGTGTTCAAATATTCGCATTATTAAGGGACATGCTGTATTTTTTATGTAAATTCTAAAAAGATAGCACATAAGTTTGACCTAGATTCCCAGAGAACAGGCTAGCTGCATGAGTGGTTTCATAGTTTTCCCATGAGTTTTGAAGCTTTTCCTATCGGACTTACTAATAAGGTAATTTTTTTCTTCCTTCCCCTAATAACTGCACCATACATCTTTCAGCTAATCAGCATTAAAACTGTACTACTACTGCTATTATCGAAAACCTGCTTTGTTTTATATGGTAAACCTAATAGTCCCCAGTGTTTAACTATTTTATGTCATGTAACAAAGTGCAAACTGCTCAAAAGATTTGTTCTTCCCAAGTATTTTCATGTGTGATAACAGCTTAAATAACTAGTTTTATGAAAAAATATTATGATTCATTTTATGAGTTATCATTTTAATGAATTCAGTCAGTATATAGAAATTTATATTTATTTGAACAGGAAAATATCAAACAGTAACTTAGCAGGAAAAAAAGTAATACAAATATCAAAATGTCTTCTAGTATACAGTTGAAACATGAGCATATGAGATAACAGAGTAATTTTAATATGAATAACATTTGCACATAAGTTTCTTTAGAAATTACTTGAGTTTTATGACTATTCATTTTCATTTCTGATCAATAAAAGAAAATGAAGAACTCTGATGTAAGATGAGTCATAAAATGAATTAAGAATAACACATTTTCAACAAATAGCAATTTTTAATCTGCAAAGCAAATGATAAAATCCACACGAAATGATATTTAGTCTATTCTTTCACTGCACTCTTGCAATGGCTGAGTGGAAAATGATTCTTTTAAATAACCTATTATTTCTTCTTTTTCTGGTTTGTTAGATGAAGATGAATGTGTTGTTTCTAGTAATTCAGTCTTTCTAAAACTCTCATGAAACTGTTCACATTTTGAAATACTTTCCTGTTCTGCATCACATGCACGTAATTCAGAATCAATGTGTGCATTTTCTGACACAACTTCATTTTTTAAATTGTCTTCTAATGCCTCTTTTACTCTCAGTTCTTTTTCTTCTCTCTTCTCAAAATCTAATGAATCGGCAATAGCCTGTGAAGTTTCTCTCACATCACATTCATTGATGTCATCTTTTTCAGATCCATCTTTTTCTAAGCAATCATTTGATGCCACTTCCTTATTTTCCTCTTGTTCAGAACGAAATGAATCAGAGACAACATGAGGTAATTCAGATCTTAACTCCTCTTTCTGTGTTATCTTGTCATCAGCTTGTGGATTTTCTATCTTTTCAGTAAAAGGTTCTGTTTCATTCTGGGGACATTCTTCTTTTTGCTCTTGCATTTCATCAGACTTTAAATATGAGTCATTATAAGAAACATTTATTGTTTCTTGGGCAGGTTCACTTTGGTCAAAATCTTGTTCAGATGTGTCGCTATGAGAAACATTTATTGTTTCTTGGGCAGTTTCACTTTGATCAAATTCTTGTTCAAATGTGTCGTTGTGGGAAACATTTATTGTTTCTTGTGCAGGTTCACTTTGATCAAAATCTTGTTCAGATGTATCGCTATGAGAAACATTTATTGTTTCTTGGGCAGTTTCACCTTGATCAAAATCTTGATCAGATGTAGATTCTTCTAGGTCAGGACATGAAAGTATTTCTTGCATGCTTTTGAGTCTAATTAATATAGTAGTATCTTCTAACCTAGAGACCAAACTGTTTGTATGAACATCTCTTTCAACATAAACAAGAAATCCACTACTAAAGATATCATTCAACATATCTGCTGTATCTTTCTGGCCTGTGCATAGGAATGAAGGAATTTCACAAGGAATTGCATAAGGAGGATGCAAACAGTGTTCTGGCAAAAGAGGGCATAAAGTTGAAGAGTAAGAAATTTTTTCTCCAGAGTCTATCAAATTAAGAATAATTTCATCATCACAAGATAAAATCGTACATCTAGACCATTTGCCATTATGCCATACAGCATATGCCTGCAATTTTCTTACTTGCGTTTTCTCATTTTTTACACTATATGCATTTTGCATGCTAGATTGAAGTCTCTCAAAACACTCCCATTGTGGGATCAGATTTACAAATAATTCTAAATGTTTGAGTTCAGTAGTTAAATGTGACATCTTTGCACTGTAATGACCTGGTTCAATGTTAGCTGTACCAAATTTACAACCCACCATATCATTTAAAAATAATTCATTTACAATGTCCAAACCATCAACATATAAGCTAACTTGATAAGGTTCATTATCCTCAATTATTGTAATTACTGCTTCTTTACTTTTTACAGTATTTTCCAGGTATTCTTTTGTTGTAATACTTTTATCAGAAGAACATGAAATAGCAGCAAGAGTACACCACACAGCAAATGGTGGAATGCTAGTAAACTTTGGATCTAAATCTTGAGCTGTGCTGATGTCAACACTGTCTATGACTCCATAATCAATGAATGAAACTGTCAATTTTTCTTCTTCATGAATTACCTGAGCTCTCCGCCATTCGTTTTCATCTGTAAACACAGCACAAAATTTTGATTCTGGATTATAACTAGAAGATAAATCTTTGGAAGAATAAGCTAAATTTAGGTCGCTGTTAAAATTAGACAGCTGCTCTTGAAATTGCATAGGTATCACAGCTAAGATAATGGAACCGTCATCAGATATTGCTATACTAGACACAATAACCTTAACAGATCCTGATAAGTGGCGATTATCTGTTGATCCTTCAACAAATGTTTCACAATCAGAAGGTTTAGGAACTTTATTAGCAAAACTAGTCTCAACATTAGAAATATCATTTACTGTAGTGTTCATAAGCTGCATGGGTTCTCTGCTAGCATTTATACTTTCTTTATATTCAGGAATATCATTACCATATAATACATCATGATTATCTTCAATCATTTCATTGCTATTTTCTAAATTATAACCAGAATCCTTGGCGTTAAGTGATGGCAAGATTTCATCTTTCCTTTTGATACCTTCATATTCATCTAACTCTGGAACTGATTCAAACTGCTCAGCAGGTAATTTGAATTCATCTGAATTTTCATCATCTATTTTTTGGTTCACCTCCTTATCATTTGAAAAAGGTTCATTTTCTGAAAAATTATCATGGTGCTCATCACCTAATATATATTCATCTCTATTCACAAAATTATCGAAATCATCACCTTTAGCAAAATCAGTAAATTGTTTCTCTAGTTTGGTTTCTTCATTTGAAACTTCAACTTCTTTCGTACTTAGGTCATTTAAGATGGGTTGCAAATTTTGAGAATTTATAACAGAATCATCAAATCCCAAATCATCAGACTTATCAGAATACTTATTATTTGGAGGTTCCAATTCTTCGTTAATTTTTGGACCCTGAGTATTTGAATTCAAATCATGAATTAATGAAGATTCATCATTATCATTTAACTGTGGTTGGGATTCATTGTCAGATTCTGATTTTATGGCATTCTCAGCATCTTCCTTTTCTACAGAATCACAGTATGTTTTTGATGCTTCATCAGCACTGTCAGTTAGCAATGAAAATTCAGGATCAATAAATGATAATTTTACAGCAAGTGGATATGATCGAGTTTCCAGCAATTCACAAAAAACTGCAGTATCAGATGGAATCTTGTCCAATATTTTTTCATAACTATCATCTAAGACACCTTTTATTTCTTTCACAACACATGGCTGCAAAAATACAGGTTGATGACTCATTTCATCAGGTAATGATACTAAATCAGAGATTTTTACCCTAGCCTCCTGGCCAAAATCAACAAATTTGACATCAGCTTCATCAGATGAGCAACTCAGGACAATTGAACGAAACCAGTGTTCATTGTATTTGGCAGCATACAAATGCCATTTATTAAAACTGGTAACCATTTCACATTTATTACAATATTTTTCTAGTTCAGTCTGAAAATTAACACGATCTTCTTTCAATTTTACAGGGAGCACATACAATATACCACCTTTATTATGTTCCATTGTTGCTTCAAAACTTTTGTCAAGCTCAGAATTTAAAACATATTGCTGAAATAAAAGCTCTTCATTAACAAGCAGTTCTGCGAGGTCAGTATCTCCGAAAAGAACCTTTGCAGTACATATTCCAGGCACACCATGCTTATATTTACATAACTTCAAAAGCAGTGGTTCATTATATACATATTCATCTAATTTATTCTGAAGTTCCTCACTTTTGTTTTCAAACATCTTAAAACCAGAAAGACAGAACTTGATTGAAAATTGGCATGCCTCAACAAATTCAGGCAAAAGTTCACAAATATTTTCCGTGTCTACAGTGTCACAGTTTCCGTAATCTATAAACTGAACTTTTACTTTGTCATCACAGCATGCTATAACTTTGGCTCGATACCAACTTTCATCTTCAGTGTATTTAGCAACACAAAAGTCCATTTCCTTCACCTGTATTACTTTGTTTCCAGATTCGTTATAAACAGTTTGTAACCTTTCCTGCATGACTTCTAACTTTAAGTCTGCATCAACTGGTACTACATGCAAAATAATTAAATCATTCACAATTTCAGCATATTTAACATTCCCCAACATTTCATCTAATCCAGTGACAGAATAGGTAGTCATGATATTCTTCACTTTAGGGGGCTCTTCATCAGCTATTATACTTGAACCACTTACGAAATTATCTGTGACCTGCTCAGTTTTTGCAGAGATATCAAATTTGGCCAAACCTTCTGCAATCAACATTTCAGCAAAATCACCATTACAGTTCAGTTTAACTTTATAAGGCTTAGATTCACAAATTTCCATCATTAGCTCCGTTTCCTCTAAAAAATATTCATCTAGTTTAGTTGTTATTTTTTTTTCATTTCCTTCTATAGCTTGGACCCCAAATAAACTGCATTCTACAGCTACAGGAGGTATTTCAACAAGTTCTGGATTAATAGCTCTGAGATTTTTTATACATAACAGCTCTGGATTTCCATGATCAACTAGAGTAACATATATATTATCTCCATCTACTTCTGTTATTATAGCCCTACACCATGTTCCCTCTCCACACTTTGCAACACAAGGCATGTTTCCCTTAATGTCTTCAGGTTCAATAGGTACTGGTGGCTTATCAGCATCCGGCCGATAAAGAAGTTCAAGAGTTTTAGTTATTGTATCCAGTTCAGTACTTAATTCCAAGGGTATGACATAAAATTTATTGTAAGTATCAACATAAGAAATTTTAACTAAGAGTTTTGATGAGCTAAGCTTACGGTTAGGATAACTCTGGTCATTAGAGAGAGAAAACTGTTCCTCCAATGGAGAAGTTAAGTGATCCTCAGCATAAGCTTCTTCTGCTTCAGTGCAGGTGTCAACATTAGCTAATTCCATATCGACAAGATACTGAGCAACATCTTTGTCATCTTTGGCAACATTTACAATAGCTGGTATATCCTTAGAAATGAAGGTTATTGCAAGTGGAGAATCAAGAACCATATCCTGAAAAGTTGTAATGGCCTCCTCTGACCATTGCTCAGCAACAGGGACAATGCCATTTAATTTGCATTTAATTGCATATGGTGGAATTTGAAGATAATCCTCAGTAAGAATTTTTAATGAAGTCTTAGGAACATCATCTACATTTCCATAATCAACAAAAAGAACACTAGATGTAGTATCTAAAATAAAATAAAAAAATTAATATTAGCTAAATTTTGCATTTTTATTATATGTCTATGCATTAACTAACATGACATAATAGCCACCAAATGTTCAAAAACGAAATATAAGTTCATACACAATTCAATAAATAAGAAAAGTTTGATATTCCTGAAATGTATAGTAGTGTTTACAAAATGCATTCTGCCATAATATTTTCCAAAAATAAAACAATGAGGTATTACTGTTTTTAACAAGAACTATCATGCATTAAAAAAAAATGGCTACAAGAAGTATTTGCTTAAATACTAATAGCAGCAAAGTTTCTCCCAATAAAATTGAAAATTTTATAAAAACAGTTTGAATGCTTGAGTGGATAGATTCTGTAAATAAATAATAAAAAAAAGTAACTTTTATTTTATCATCATTTCATGCTGTAAAGATAGCTGGTTATCAACTTTCATAGTCAATGCATTCAGTAACACAAAAGTCTATTTCATTTACCAGCATTATTTTATTTGCATGTTCATTATGAACAGTTTTAATACATATTTCATGATTTCTAAGTTTGCTTCAATTGATCTTATGTGCAAAATAATTATATCGCTCTCATTTCAACATATTCAACTTTTAATGATACTTCATCTAGTCCATACACAGAATTAACAATTCATTTCAGACGGCTCTTTATGACAGTTCTTACAGAACCAAAATTCCAGTTAATAAACTAGTCATTATGCTTTAATAAGTTAACTATAAGAAGCTCCATAACTAAATATACTAAATTCACAGATATTCAAGAATGAATCTAATGACATGGATTGCATTTTAATGCCTAGTATCATCAAAAAATTTTCCATCATATTCAGGGAAAACATAAAACAAAAATTACTCATTTTAGTGATTAATAATAAATAACATACACGATCTACATTTTGGTAATAGCTTAGTTATTGAAATAGCACTAAAAAGGAGATATTTTAAAGTAGGAGCAGTACCTCCTATTGTCATAAAATAGAAGGGCCTAACAAAACAAGATGATAAGAGCTTTTTATGAAGCACAAAACAAAGCTACCAAATGTTTGAATACCAATTGTTTATTAAATATAGAGGTGTTAATTCTTCAAAGTTCTGCAGGAACAACTGCCACAACTTTGACTGAATCTCCACTAATTTTCATGATTATCTTTGTCAGTTTAGAAAATGAAACTAGTAATGAGAATGATTAAAAAAAATAACTTAGTCACATAAATATAATAAAAGTTTAAGAGCAATAAGTTAGTTAAGTTTTGCAAGTTCTACTGGTATGAAAAAATAGTTGACAAACAAATAATGTTCTTAGCTTTTCTTCGTGATGAAGTTGTAAATTTCACAAGTACCTCTACTGAAGAGAATCACATAGGTTTCTGAACGTGCATTAATTCAAAAATGAAGGCATTTGCATGCTTATTAAGAGTGCTTTTTTCATTATTATAAGTATTAATATTAACATCATTTTGTGCAATGTTTGTTAACAATTCAATATGAAAAAGCATGGGAGGGAAAAGATTAAAATCGCTCAATATACTTGTAGACATTTCATAAAGTTTATTATTGCACATTATATTAATTTATTTTTTAATATTTATTTATTTCTTACTTTATTATGCATACAGCATTTGTTAAAAATTTAAGGCAGATAAAATTCTGTGAAAATATATGTGAAATGCCCTTTTTAAAGAGTTATCACCCATCTTTCTGTAATGCTGCTAAAAATCAATACCAATTAACACTTAATTCCATTAGTATTTGCAAAACATTACTACACAAGGGATAAACATTTAATTTTAAGTTAAGTGCCATGGGAATTACAGGATCTGGTTACTACATGAGTTGGTTATTAATGAAAAAACATTTTATAGCTTTTAGAGGTTTCTGTTTTAGTATTTAGACTAAAAATGACTCATAATTTTGGATGATCTGCTCTGTGATGCTGGAGGCCTACAATAACGAGAACAAACATTTTGTGACACTATACTGCATACAATTTTTTTAAGTTTATTAATTATTACTACATTACAATCTGTTTATTTTATTTATTTTTTAATTACTGACTTGAAATGGGTATAATATGCAAAATTTTCCTCTTCTTACGAAAAACCAGAACAGAAATTATTAAAGAAAGGGTTAGAACACAAATGTATGAAGGGCTTAATGATTTTAACAGAAATTATTATCAGCTGATGAAGGCCGGTCTTTCATACACGAATAGAAATAGCAACAGTTGAGAAAATTTCACAGTTTTTATTTGAAGATTATTGTCAAACCATTAACAAGATTTCTTAAGAACAGAAGTATCATGAAGCTGATGCCAAAGAATATTTTGTAATAGTAACAATGTAGGTACCCCCCAAAAAAATTAAAATTTTCACAAACAGCACATTTTAGATTTCCGTGAGAATCAATTATGTGCAAGATTATCTTGTATAATCACCACTTATGATGATCAGAATTCATCTGTATAACAGTTGTGTTACTATGTCCACATTGTTCATTTATCTTGCTACCTGAATAATATGAGATACAATACTGAGCATAGATTGCTAACGGAATTTAACTTCAAAAAAAAAGGGGGGGAGGTGAGACTAAAAATTACAAACCTTAAATAATAATTAAAAATAAAAAAAAAAAGAAAATGAAAGGGATCGTAACTAACATTCAATTACTTTAATGGAGTTTCAACAATAAAGTAAAATAAAATTTATCCAATGATCCTAGATTTACTGCACCATTAGTTATATATGAAATTCCGTGTAAAAAAAGGATAGTACACACTTTTTTTTTTTTTTTTTTTTTTTTTTTTGATTTTTTTTTTTTTTTTTTTTTTTTTTTTTTTTTTTTTTTTTTTTTTTTTTTTTTTTTTTTTTTTTTGTTTTTTTTTTTTTTTTTTTTTTTTTTTTTTTTTTTTTTTTTTTTTTTTTTGATAATTTATATTTTTTTCCATTTTTGTACATAATTAAAGTTTCATAAATTAAAACAGTCTTAATATAATTTCATTTTAATGCAACATACGCTAATTTAATCAATTTTTATAAAATAAGACATCTTTATACATAAGAAGTGTATGCAGCCCAAAAGCAATGAATATTAGTACCATACAAAAGGGTAGAAATATTATTATAGCATTAACAGAATATTGTAACATTTTTAATAACATAAGACTATAACATGTTTTCAATTATAACATTATATTGTAACATATTTTTAACATTAACACTTGTAAAGCATGCAGTACATACTGCATGTTTTTAAACATATAAAATAAAACCAATTTACCTGTTAAATTAAGAATTTCAGCTCTATACCAGTTATTATCTTCAGAAAATTTAGCACAACATGCTAAACCAATATATGGGTTCTGAACTGAGGTTTTATCATCTGTCATTGCTTCACAAACATCAGACAATTTAGTAGAAAGGTCTGCTAAACTATCCTCACAGCTATAAAGCTGGATATAGAAATCTTGTGGCGAGTTCACGACAGTTATATATCCATCCTGCAATCCAAGAGGTACATCAGGTGATAAAAAACATGCATCTAAAAATAGAAGAAAAAAAATTTTAAATGTGTACCATTTGCTCACAGGTACTAAAAAATACAATTTTGGTAAGAAGAAATCATAAGTGTTGTTTCCATCTTTCATTATTTAAGTAAAACATTTACAAATATATACACATATGATGATTTTGCGGATAGGCACAGAAATGATGAAGCTTGGCATCAGAGTGCGGGCATTGTTTGGCTGAGTGGAATACAGCAAAATGATGACACAGAAGGAATTTGCTTTTAATTGCACATCTTTATTCAATTTAAATGGCAGATCATTTTCTTTTAGATGAAATTCTCCTATTTACATATCAAATAGTGTTTTAAACTAAATAAGATGAAATCTAGGCTTTTGATTCATAACTATTCTAACAAAGAGAAGAAAGCTAGACAGGGCAACGCACAGTCTTGTAGCAGCGATAGTAGGAAGCGGTCTGATGAAAAATGACACGAAATCTGTATTTATACTAGCTGTTACATAACATGCCAGAATGTTCTCGAAAGTACTGGTCTGGGGGAAAATCTTGAAATTGTGGAAAGTTAATTAGAGGCTGCCTGTTTGCATAGAGCAAAGCCATCGTATTTTTTATATTTTACATTTACATTTCAAATTCACTGATAACGACAGTTATTATGTGTGTGTGTGTGTGTGCATATATATATACATATATGTGTGCGCAACACCAAAAATTGGTCATAAAGTATTATTTATACAATTAATTTATCCAAATGTAAATGAGATTTAGGATAAAATGTCCCATCAGAAGTATTTTTAGACAAATGAAATACGGAAATAAGTTTTAAAGCATTAAACAGTTGAGAATAAATGCATATTCTAATAGACTTCTTCAAATGAAGAATATAATCATAAAAGACAACATACATATTTATTGCTAAATTCTAAGGAAAACTAGTTAATAAATTTAAGACAGTCAATTAAATATGTTTGAACTAATCAATTTTAAAAGTACAAATTTCTGAATAATCGTAGAAGATTACTGGATACCAGAAACAAACTCTGCTAACTTGAGGTAGATAACAGTTTTTTAACATGCATTGAAGTTAAATCAACTGTCGAATACACAGTTAGCCTTGGACTAAACCTCAGAGCCAAGGTTAAGTCAAGACTAAACCTTGGCTCCTTCTGATTAATCGCTCACAAGGAAATTATCGCAGGTAAAAGCATTGCTAGCAAACTAATTTGCAACAGTAAAAAACTTACAGTTAAGTACATGTTGCCAAACACTCTCTGATAAAAACTTTGCAACTAGATGCTTATTTAAACTTTAAACTAAATTGCTTTTATAATCTAAGCTAATGAAAATAGAACTTATAGAAAAGCCAAAATAATAAGATAACTGATCGATATAATAAAACCTTAACTTAAAATAATGTGTTATTTATATTTAAATTTGCAAAAAAAATTAATAAATAAAATAAAATAAGATCTAATAAATAAATATATAATAACTAAAAATAAAAATCACGTTAAAAACTATTTCTCAGAAAAAGGGGGACAGCGAAGAAAGTATCGATTTCCTAGTATAGTAAAAACCAACCAAGAAAGGATTGATACCCTAGTGTAATGAAACCTCTTTGATAATTTACTATAATAAAAATTTCAAAATGCAGAATCATTGGAACTTCAGCAATTGGAAAGATACTGCATATTGGAAATTTCCCTATTTTAGATTAGTTCAAATCTAGTAAGATAACATGTGCAGATACGGCAACATTGGAGTTCCATTTATTGTTTAGGTCAGATAGAAAAATCCTAACCCTCCGCAACCACTTAGAGAAGAAAGTACACTCATGTCAATCAATGTACTGTCATTGGCCACTATGTGATACCCTAGGCAGCAAGTTATTTGAAAATGACATGCAGGAATCTCAGTTAGTTAAGAGAAAAACTGCATATACAACACACCTGCTTTATTTTGTTAAGAATTATATCCTCCATTCCTAAATACTGTAAGCTCCGCCCCCCATTCCTACACACTATAAGTTTTTTTTTTTTTTTTTTTTTTTTTTTTTTTTTTTTGTCCAAAGGGGCTTTTTGTCCATGAAGGACTATTTTCGTTTTGCAATTTTGCATTGGTTAACTATTTCACTTTTCAAACTGTTGCCACCAAATGTTAGTCCTGCATTATATTTGAAGAAATTAAATAATGAAAAATCTGCATAAATGTATGTATATTTCTTGCATTGTGATAAAACAATGGTACATAGAGCCATCGAATTTTGAATGACGTAATCCTCCTATGAATATGGGCACATGGAAACCCAAATTTGAAATTTGTTTTATTGTCGATTTCATATTTTGTAAAATTTTAACGAATTTTTGATTAACAAACTTAATGATTTCATAGCAAACAATGGCAACGTTGTACAGAAAAAAACATTTTTATCTCCAGTGCACGAGTTTCTATATCGGAAATTCTAAAGATATGCTCATTTTAAAACTATTTTGTGATATTGCTGTTGAACTGAATTTTATGGTTTAAGTGCGAAGAACGTGATATTTAATAAATAAAGGTAAAAGACAAAATGTTAAAGAAACGCCCCTTTGGGCATAATTTAAAATTTAATTTTTAATTTTTATTTATTTATTTATTTATTTATTTAGATGGTGGTTTGGAGGCCCAACTATTAGACAACAGGATTTCAGATTTTGCACTGTGCAATGAAATTTTTGAAGATGGCCACCAAAAATTTCTGGCAATTCTGATCTGTGAGAGAAATAGAGGTTGCTGCACAGACCTGTGTAAGTTATCCTTATCATCAGTAATATTCAATACTGTTATTTAAACTACATTCCTGAAAGTACTTGTCATTACCCAAATGTAGTCATCATAGGGTTGCAAAAGGTTTCATTGTAATATTTAAACAAAAAATAATTATTTCAGAAAAATGCAATTTAAAATAATTAATGGTATCTTACAGATAAACATCATTAACTAAAATTTTAACATTTAGCTAATCACTTTTAGACATGCATCTAAAATTAAAACATACTTCAGCTTCAGTTCATTATTTTTATATTTCGCTTTTTTTGGAAACAAAGATCTCATTCTATCCTTCTGCCTTTGAAAGATCTCGGTTTTTACTTCCTTGTATGAAGTAAAAAGGAAGTATTGTAATCGCGAAAAGTTTCAGGCAGCATATTTCAACGAAAACATCCATTTTGACGCTATTGAATGCAATTTAACGATGTTTTTGTGTGATATCTGTACGTAAGGACAGAATAAAATACTCTTTTCCTTCAAAAAAATTATAAAACTGCTTTAAAATTAATTCTGAAGAGAACTTTTTGTGGCGTCTGTACGAACGTATGTACGTACATGCGTACGTACGTATCTCACATAACTCAAAAACGAGTATCCTCAGGACGTTGAAATTTTGTATATAGGACTGCTATAACATGTAGATGTGTACCTCGTATTTTAGTTGGAATCGGCCGCACCAAACGTATATAAATATATTATATAATATATCCACTCTGTTACCCGGCTCAGTGATCTCAGTTTCTTTACTCTTATATGTTTGTAAATTGTACATTTTTTGCTTTAAAAATGATTGTATTATGTTGTTTTTATCTTGCGGTTGATGTTTTTATGCCTTTAGTAAATCTGTATGCAATATTTTTAGAATTATCAACAATTTTAAAGTTGTCTAAGTGCCGCTAAGCCTTTTTTTAATGGCGGCCATTGATGTTTACATTTGAAACAGGAGACTAGTGGATTTGTTGCCAATCTAGAGAAACTTAGCTTCGCAACAACAAAGATAACGCATTCATTTATTATTGCCAATTAAATCATGCTTAATTTTTTCTGGAATTTTTTCGAGGAAATAAGTGTTTAAGATTTACTTCGTAATTTTTAATACAGATATTTTGAGTTTTTATGTATTTTTGCCTTCTCGCGAAGTGAGAACTGAATTAATTAAATGAGAAATACTCAATCGTCTGTGAAAAAACTGTTTCTGTTCTTTTTTTGTTTTGTTTGCTTATTTCTTTTATACATCATTCTACCTTTATTACAGTATTTGAATAGAACATGTGGCAACGATTAGATAATTCTATTCTTTAAATGATATAAATTTTGTGCATTATGAGTTATAATATGAACGAAATATATAAGTTAACTGTTATATAATTATTGGATTATATAACAGTTAACTTAGTTTCCATTCAGTTAACTTAGTTTCCGTTATATAATAATTATATAACAGAAACTAAGTTAACTGTTATATAATTATCAATACTGTTAAGTGAATCTAGTGCCAGAGTGTCGCTATGGTAAACAAATACTAAGTGATTTTTAAAAAATGCATTTATTCTATTGTGGTTTATGCGCTGTTGGCGAAGTAGATTTAATTCAACCCAATAAGTTTAAATGAAATGCAAGAAAAAATGTGTATAATTTAATATTCTGTACAAGGAAGTCATGTGATGTACACAGATTTTTTTTACTTTCCAATGACAACAAGTCTAAGTTTATGTCCACCGGTAGCATTACTGCAAGACATGCTAGTGATCCTTTCCTTGCTGCTTATGACCCGCCGCTTTACTTTCACTTTCAAATGCTAAAGTGCGAGTGGGAAGACATTTCCACAAAAGTCCTGGTTCATCGGCATTGTAAATTTGTTCAAAAGATAGCTCTTCTTTTAAAACAAATTCTTCAAATTCATGGTGGAAATCGTCGGCTGCTTGTTGGTCACCACTAAGTTTTTCCCCATGAAGTCCAATTTCTCGAATTCCATGTCACTGCTTAAAACGAGTCAACCAGCCAGAAGACGTATCAAAATTTCCTTTCAGACCTAACAACTCAAAAAAGGTTTTTTTGCCTTCGCCGCATTGATAGGACCATTTACAGGCATACCCTCTTTTCAAACATGAGCTAACCACTCTGTCAATGCCATGTCTAGCTAATCAAAGGTAGAACCCTTCATAGTTTTTTGCATTTTCATTGGGGAAGCACTGTCCGACATTGATGCAAAGTTCACCAGTTTGTCATTTTGCTTTAGAATGTCATGCACTGTTGTTTCCACGATTCCGTAACCAATTCGATCTGCTGCCTTGTAGCGACGTTTGCAACTAGGTAATTAATTCTAGTTTTTGCGCACAATCATCAACACAATCCTTCTTTCGTTTTCCTGACATTTTAAATCGGTAACGAGAAAACAACAAAACCAAAAAGCACAAGCACTGAACACAATAAATCAATAAGAAATTAACTCCAATCAGTTCTCAAACACTATCAGGCTTAAACTAACAATGGTGAGTGGGAGGAAGTGGACATGTCTGGTGAGTGGGAGGAAGTGGACATGTCGGTAAGATTAAGACGAGAGAGGGCGGTGGAGAGGACACTGCAAGGGTGAGTATGAAATCGCTGACTCATCAGAGGGGAAGGTTCCGAGAAGGCCTGGGATATTTTTGCTATAAATAAGCCCGATGTTAGCAAACTTAACGCTTCACTCAGTTTGTGAACATTTTTATTTTCTTTGCTTTGCGCTTGTAAAAAAAATATTGGTGCGGCAAGCTCGGATAATCAGAAGTCTACTGTATTTGCTTTTGAAGAAAACCTAGATATTTATTAGCATTGATTATGAGGAAATTGAAATGCAAACACTGAATAACTTTCCAACCAAAATAAAAGTTAAATAAAAGAGTATTCAATTATCTTCAGAAAATTATAAGATAATTTCAAATTATTTAGCTACCTTATGGATATAACAGGTAAATAATTTGAAATAATGTTATAGTTTTCTAACTCTTTATCTAGGAATTTAGGAGCAAATTTCAAGATTTAAGAAATATTACAAATTGTTAATTCTTATGAAAAATGCTGCCAATACAAATTAATAAGACATGATTATCATCAGGCAGGCTCTCTTGGAAAAAAAAAAAAAAAAAAAAAAAAAAAGAGTAAAATCTCGTGTGGTTAACTCAGCACCAGCTCTTTTTTACAGAATTCACAAATCAAAATAATTAACAAGTAAAAAAAATATTTTCACAAAAAAAGTTCTCACTACCAGATTTCTTTTGCAGTGAAATATATATATAGTTGTGGGACTTTTGGTCATCAATTTTATTTATTTAGTATTTGTTAGAATAGCACTTTTTTAATTTTATGCAAATATGCATTATTTTCGAATAAAGTAACTGCTCATCAAGTTGATTTTCTTAAGAGCCTGCCATAATCGCTATCAGGGTATGCACCACAACCAGAGGCATACCTTCAGTTTTCAGCACAAGAAGACAACATAAGATTTTGCATCCCTTCCAGTCTGCCAAAACGCAATGCAGATGAGAAAGAAAATGCCCCTTGGATGCTGTGGCGAGACCCAAAAGTTCCCCCTTGCCCCTCTCCAGCTATGTCACTGATCATAATATCTACCAGAGCCTACAGATTCTCTCCAGTACAGAACAATAATTATTAAAACATACATATATTTATCTGAATTGGAATATGATTTTACAATGCTATTTGATGAATTCAATGAACTAAAAAATGATAAGAAACAGAAGTTATTTTTAAAGAAAAGAAGCTGAAATCTAGAAGTTAATAAAGTGCATAAAAATGCATGACTGTACAAAAATGTACATAAAAGGCAGCTGCTAATTCACAAATGAATTATGACAAGTAGCAATCATAAACCTGATTTATTAAAAATAATAAAAGAATTGTTTCAGTGACAAAAATCACAGTAATTTATGCGAACACTGATATTTTTTTAAAATTTTTATACTATGCTGTAACACACATAATGCAGTATACATTTATATATGGCTTAAAATTAAAAGAGGTTAAATATGGAGGATATAGATTAGCAGTTCTTAATTCCTAACTATTAATTTCCACAAGATACTGATACATAGTTTCATGATTAAATAAAATATTACATTTTAATAACAAAAATTATTCATGGGTTCTTGACTATTAAATCTCAGAAAGAAACTTCAAAACCTGAGGTAGCCAGTTTATATCAAGTCTTTCAGCACTATACTAGTCCATCTTGTTTATTCCCCCCCCCTCGACTTCAGCACAACACTAGACGAAACAGAATGATCAAGAACAGAAGCATGGAAACATGCTGCAATTACACAAAATCCACCAAAAGACCACTGTGAGAGAACACAGCCTATAGGTTTTTTTTTTTTTTTTTTGGGGGGGGGGAGAAAAATAAATCAACTTACTAAATTTTGTCGCATCTATCGATTTTAATCTTTAGGACAAGATAACAAAAAATCAGCATGTACATCTTTTATGTAATTATTACAACCAGATGTTAACTCCAGACACCATAAATAAATAAACTGGAAGCAACAAAAGCAATGTGTGATCCAACAAACGATATCTGTGTATGAACACATTTTTTCTTACCAAACTAAGAAAAAAAAAGTTTGCAATTGATTTGGCTTTTATGAAAAGTATTGAATTAATAATAATTCAAGAATTTTCTTTCTTACAATTTTCAGTAGCTCAAGTGGCTAAATCGGTAACTGCAAGATATGAACACCTGCAAGTTAATCACAAATACAAAGTTATCGATCCTGATATTAGTGCATTGTGCAAAATGGCAAAATAAACATCAGTGCACCATTAGCTACCACCATTTAGATAATTATCCCATTAAATTTATATGACAGCAACTGCATGAGATGAAAAATAAGTTTACATTACTCACCCTTTGATACAGCCTCAGGTGCATCACCACTTGAACCAAAAAGAACATTGTTTATATTAACTTCTTCTGAATCTTTATCATATAACAATGTAACAACATATACATTCTTACAGGATACTTCTATTTTAGCAGTAATTTCTTCAGCTTCATCAATAAGATTTTGAAATGTAGTATTATTATCTAGACTGCTGCCAGCAGGTGCATGTAACAATTGACATTCAAAGCACAATGGAGGAAGTTTCATAAAATCAGATGTGATAGTTGCAACCTAAAAAAAAAAAAGGGAAACCATGAATACTAAGAAATCATTAATCAAATATATTTATCACATAATTTTACAATTTAACGGAAAATTTTTCCTGAAGAAAATATATACATATATAACATTTTTAATCCTCGTAATATAAATTTAAAAAATTACATTCCTGCTTCCTATTTCATTACTTATATTAACCATTATTTACTTTAAAAATAGCCTTTTAAAAATACAGGCAAAATAAAAGTTCTGAATATAATCTAAATACCAAGTATATAATCAGTAATTTTTCTTACTATCAGTTTTTTGAGAGAACTTTCAGTTTTAGTCAACATGAGAAGCTTGACACAACAAGCGTAAGATAAATTAAAATTTTTAAGCTTCTTATTCCACAGTGAAATTACATTCACAAAACAGGCATGTCTTGTACCGTGTCGATGCTAGGCTTTTCACCACCTGGTGCAATTACCATGATTCCTAGATTCTGCCACCAGTGCAATTACTGCAATTCCTAGATTCTGCAATCCAATGACTCCCTAAATTTGACAAATTTCACCACCCCTAAAAATTCTGCATATGTTGGTCTCATATGCAGGGTTGGGATAAGCTTTCTGCCACCTGGTGCCTCCAAAATTATAGGGCACTTGTTGCACCTGGTCAAGCAAGACTGGTTCACAAACTTGGGGTTAAAAACAGGTACAAAACAGCATCTACTTACTACACCTTTTATTCAGGAAGGCATTTTGGTATGAGAAAGCATGTTAAATTAAATATGTATACCTCTTTAAATTTTCACAGAAGGTAATGACAAATAACATTATTAAGAAGCTTTAGAGCCCTGCATAACACTTTTCAGAAATACACTTAGCTTTCCTTTTGCTTATGCAAGATAATGCTCATTCGTGGAGAGAAACCAGTGAATGTATCAATAACAAAGACATCTACAGAATAAAGTGGTTAGCCAAATTTTCATATTTAGCCTTTGCAAAAAATAATTGCTTTGCACTAAGAGCATTGTTCTAGAGCAGTGTTCTCAACTAAGCAGATATCAGTTCCTTTTCCGAAAACCATTCACAAAGATATTTAATTCATTAAGCGGATGATAAAGTCAAAAACATTCACTCAAATTAATATGAATAGCATCATTTTTTATGTTACTGTGTCTTGGCTATGTAAACAGGAATGAAAAATAATCTAAAAAATGTCATGTCTAAATATTGTTGATTATGTGCTACATTAGCTTCAAATTTCTAACACAAAAAAAAATTTTTTTTATTGCCCTAGATATTCTAGAGCAGTGTTCTCAACTTGTTTTGCTCCATGCACCTTTTTCACCACTGCTACGAGGACAATCCCAAAAAAAAAAGGTCTCCTATTTTTGGGGGACGTAGAGAAAGTTTTAATACAGTTGTTGGCAACACTGTTGTGAGTGGTGCCTTCTCCGCTACCACATAAGCACTCAGGCTTCGCTCGGATGCTCATCTTGGCTTGGCAGCCATTCGAAATGGAGCTCCCGATAAACGTTTACCCCGCCAAGAGCGAAGTGCACCAGTTATTCGATTTTTGAACGCAAAAGGCGTTAAACCGGTTGAAATTCACCACCTATTGACGGAAGTGTATGGACAGTCGTGCTTGGATGTCAAAAACGTTCGCAAGTGGTGTAGAGAGTTTACAGCCAGTTGTACTGAAATTCATGACGAAGAAAGGTGCGGGAGGCCGTCAATTGCCGACGAGACAATCGCGAAAGTTGAGGGCGATTGTTGAGTTCGTATTCGTTAAGTTTCGCGATTGTTGAGTTCGTAAAATGCGTAAAGATCAGAGGATCATCTGGATGCTCCTGAAGCTCCTCAACACTTCCTGAAGGGCATGGCGGCAAGCTGGTATGACATGGCATTGTAAAACTGCCACAGCGTCTACAAAAATGCATCGACCGAAATGGCGATTATGTTGAAAAATAAAGCATTCTTCAATCTTTAAAGTGATGTAGCAATTATAGAAAATAAACGGTTCTTTGTATATCTAAAAATATAGGAGACCTTTTTTTTGGGATTGCCCTCATAGATCATCACTCCCCTCTTTCCAAAACTTGAAAAATACTTATATACATACTTGCCAACCTACAAAACTCAAAAACCGGAAGACTTTTCTCAATGACAAAAAAATTTTTTAAATAATAAAAATTTATTTTTAATAATGAATTAACTTAAATAGTTACTAATTAATGTCTGAAAGTTCAGTTACTAATTCTTAAATGCAAATAGTACAAAAAATACATGTAAAAAAAAAAAAAAAAAAAATTATTGTTTGTGTCTTTTAAGAAGGAAATAATACTTCAATCAGTTTTCCTATAAATGCTATGAACAATGGCAGATGTTGTTTCATTAATAAGAAAACTTCATAATTTTGCTCATAGCAATTGTCACATATGCCTGCTTTTGCTAATAAAAGTTTTTCTAATGTGTCATTACTAATATTAATCTAAATTTAGTCCTTGTTTTCGCAACAACACTGAAAATCATCTCACATGCTGCATTATTGTAGGGAATTATCATGATGGCCAGTATTATTCTAGACAGTTCACATTCCATCAACACCTTTCAGTTTTAATTAAATTCCACTGAGTGTCAATCCTAAGTGGTTTTTATACCTTTATCCAAATTTTCTAATAGTTTAACTGCAAAATTGCGACTGCAGTTTATCAATTGCAACATCAATATCATTATCACCTTTCATGACTAAATGAAGTAAAATTGAAAATTTATTAAAAAATATCTTATATCAGAAAAAGATGTATTTGCTAGAGCAGACACATATGCAGCTTTAGCATATAAAATCATTCCATCGTTGATTGGAAATTTATGTAGTATAAAATCACATATTCGGTAGGAGTAGCTTCTAACACGGAAATAAAACTTATTTTTGTTTTCCTCTGAAAGTTCTTCCACTACTTTGTTAGTTGCAGCCCCCTATTACCAAATTTTCATCTTTTTTCCAATTTTCTATCTTGCCATAAGTCACATGATATATAGAATTCAAAGACAAAACAATGATTGGTTTTACAAACTTTGATAAAATGTGTTAACAGATCAAAAATCATTGATTACAAAACATGAATTGATAGAATTCTGCTTTGTAGAACTGTGTTAAGAACAACGAATGATAATGAATTGTACTGGGCACTTTGTTAAGGTCCGAAGACAAAAACATAAATATTCGATCTTCACATGATAAACTACTGTAATCAGAAAATGCTTCCCTAGTTGAGCAATTTTTTTTTTAAATTTTTTCAAGAAATTTGTATTAGCTTTACGCTTATATTTTGTAGTGAACTGCCAATTAAATTAATCACTGGTGCAGAAATCACTTTATTTTTCTCATACTATTTTTAACTGTAGAAGTAGTAATTACATCTTCATTTACTTAAGGTATTTTATAACTTCCAATAGAGCCTTTTAACTCTAGAAGCATTTACTTCTTCTTTAAGTAAGTTATAAATGTAAGTTATTATGTAAGTTATTATGTTAAGTTTTCTTAACTCTAGAAGCATTTACTTCTTCTTTATAAAAATGCACAAAGTGGGTTCCATTGGTCAAGGATTCTAGATAAACATTTCTTTAAAGATAGTCAGCGTGTACATACATACTTCAAAATTTTACATACTCATAATTTGCAAATCTGAACTTTCCTTTTTTTAAGATGCCTGCAACACGAGTCTTCAAGCCTATCATTACTGATGCACTATCGGCACCAAGGGTTAAGCAACTATCCAGAGGAATTGCATTTTCTTTTAAAGTTTCAATAATTAGATGTGCTATTTTAAAGACTGTCGAATGTGCTTCTAAAGTGCGGACAGAAAGTAAACTACACTCAATTTCTGAAAACAGTGAATTAATAAAAGAAACAACAACTGGATACAGTTTTGAATCAGTATTATTGCTTCCATCTGTATAAAGGCAGAATGGAACTGTTTTAATGCAATCAATAACTGATTCAATACCTCGGCAAGATTTTTTTATTTTTCATAAACACTTCTTCAACAATTGCAGCCATTTTAATTCTCGCACTTGAGTATTTCTTAGTGATTTCGCCATCAGGAAACATTTTTCTAAAGAAGGTTGCACAATGATCCGATGCACTCAATCACAAGTTGTGCTCCAGTAAAAAGGCAAAAGAGGCATTTTGGATTTAAAACTTTCTCGTCCTTTGTTGAAAAAGCTAATTTTTCATCTCCCCCAATAGAACTCATGTTGTCCTTGTGTTTTTGTATATGTACACTGCACAAAAAAGGGGGAAAGGGGGACAGTTCTATATCTCCCTTTCTACTGGGACGATAGACATCGAAATTCAACTTACGTTTTTAATGTCTCAAAGGCACAACTTACGATATATATTAGATTTATATATAGCATTGTTCCAATATAAGTATAGTTACGAAATGTACAGGTGCGGTGAGATGGCTTCCCCCACAAAACAGTTTTGGGGTTGCCATAAAATGGCGATGAAGGCAGGGTTGCCACATTTGGCGATAAATCACCCATTTTGCGACAAAATTGGCATGGTTGGATGGAGAACCTTCTGGAACAAATTCTTACAGGTTTAGCCCTGAATGTTCTCGAACACAAGCCGAAAGCTATATAAACCCTGTTGGTCCGCAGTCAGTCAGTATGTGCTTCATCAAGAGTGCGAGTAAGTAGTATTGAGAGTGTGCCTCGTCTAGCGAGCCGTGCGGAGAGCCGATCGAGATGACAGCCGGGCAACGGGTGGGTCGTCAAGTGCACCAAAGGAGTCTCTTAGTGCATCAAAGAGCCGGGACCTGTGCTCTTGTGTCGTCGAGTGCATCGCGAGTTGTCGAGTGGAGAGTCCAGAGAGTATGTGGAGTTCCGAAAACGACCAAGCAGAGTCAGGAGCTATACTCTGGTGCTTTGCAGTGAAGCTGTCTCCACCGTGATAGCCTGATAACCTGAAGGCTGCATCGCTGATCATGTCAGCGTGTTTATAGTAGATGTTTGACA